ACATTGAGGGGGAGGAGGGGAGAAGGAACCACAGGTGGGCCCAGGGACCTTCCTCTTTAGGGGTCTTCGGAAGGTAAGGAATTCAACAACCATTATAAATAGGCCTTGTCTCCTCCCCGTCCCCTGTCCCCTGTCCCCTGAATAACAAAGAGATGCTGTCTCTTGGCACCATCTGTGGAACACAGGTGTATTCCCCCGTTCCTTCACCTTCAGTGGTCCGCAAAGGAACAAAAATGCAACTAACACAGAACAGGGCTCCAGAGGGCTCTGCATGACTCACACACATACAGAAATGTCAAGACACCCGTGGAGACTTGCAGATTTCTGCCACAAGGGGGCGTCCGTGTCACAGCCTGACCCACGCACATGTTGCTACCTGACTCACTTGGTGAACCTGGAGAGAGGGACCCTGTCGGCCTGAGAGGGGGGGTGTCCACTCTGAGGTGTACATGATGGGGCCACACTGGCCGCTGCCCTCCTGATTTGCAGGACACAAGTGTGACAAAGGTCTTGGTGGCTGAGGATGCCGCGGAGACTGTCTATTGCTCCTGGGTCACCTCTAACCGGATCCATGTCCTCTGCATCAGGTCTCTGGGCCTGGAGGGGATTCCAGGTGTCCAGGGGACTCCAGGCAGGCTGGCTCCAACAAGGATCATCCCTAAGCCATGCTGGCCGCCGGCCCCAGTGGGTCAGAGTGGGTGCAGCCTAGGGTTCCAACAGCTCAGGGTGCTGCAGACAGTGCCCGTGGCCACTTGGTTCCACCAAGTGCTCAGAAGAGACAGCAAGAAGGAAGCAGCATTCTCTGGTGCTCACAAAGGGTTTCAAAAGCAATCCGTGGAGCAGCACGTCTTTGGGCTGACTCAGCCCGCTACGCAAGGGGCCGTCCCCGGAGGCTTCCCAGCCAAGCCCACTCTGAGACTTCCAGGGAAGGGGGGGCAACGTAGGTGGGGCAGCCCCTTTAACTGGGTGGGCTCTGATGTTACTGAGCCGTTGGGCAGCGTGGCTCCTGAGGAAACAGGGGGCCAAGGGGCCAAGGTCTGGCTGTAAATTTGCTCCCGTGCCAACCTGCAAGGGTGGTGGCGGCTTCAGCACTTCAAAGAGACAGCGCTTGTCTGTTGTCTCCTGGTCCCTGGGTCTGCCTGAGGCTGCTGGGGGGGGGGGGGTCCACCCATCACTTCTGGAGTCTCCGTGGAGGCTGAGTCCTGCCAACCATGGCCCCCATGTGGGCAGAAGGAAGACTCACAGTCCTGAGCTCCACAGAGTGGCCACCATGACAGCCGGGGCCCGGCTCCCTGATGTCCATGTGATCCATCCTGGGACTCAAGGTGGGGTGGGGTAGGGTGGCAGGTCATCCGGTCGTACTGCCTGGAGAGTCTTGCTCAGGGATCACCCGGAATGCGGTGGGGGACACCTGAGTCGGAGGTGGGAGAGTGGTCTGGTCTGCTTGTCCATACTGAGGAGCCTTCTGGGTGGAGTGATGGGAGGCCTCTAGGAGCAGTTTCTGTGCACAAGGGAGACCTCCAAGGCATTTCACCTTCCAGGCACCCACCCCAGTGAACTCCTCGGAGGGCCCCCAGCCAGTCGGCCGCCCAAGTCGTGCTGTGGAGTGGACCATGCCTTTCCCACCTTTTTGTTTTGTGTTTCCTAAATTTAAAAAGCACCGCTGTGCTGGCGTCCGTGTGCAGAGTGAGGACCCAAAGTAAACATGATTTCCATGTGGGCAGCTCAAAGTACCACAGGGGGGCCCGTCAGGCGGAGAGGAGCTCAGCTGCCCGACTCTGTTCAGGAGGGGAGGACGATGACGACTGGGGCTCTGGGGGGCCGTGAGGTCCTGTGAGCGGTGGCTCCAGGCAGTGGCCGGGGCAGCAGCGGTCCCTTGGTTCTGGGTGGGGGTCTGCATAGAAGTTACTGGAAAAGGCAAGAGGGAGTAGGTGAAGGTGGTCAGGAAGGTTGGGACACAGAGACTCACCCTTGCTGGGACCCCCACAGCCACAGCCAGGTGGCCAGAGTTGTCCTGCCCCCTCTGATGCTGGCGTTCATGTGGCTTTCTGCTCGGGACCCCGCCTCCCTGAGCTACTGCTTCAGGATCAGTGACAAGGTGTCAGTCACCGAGTCGGTCCCAATGCTAGGGACCCTGTGTGTCAGAGCAGAACTGGACTCCGCAGCGTTTTCAGTCGCTGACTTTTTAGAAGATCACCAGGCCTTTCTTCCTTGGCGCCTCGGGGTGGACTTAAACCTACAACCAGTCAATTAGCAGTGAAGCAATTCACCATCTGTGTCACCCAGGGACTCCAGGAGAGCACTCCCTCTGCCTCAGTTTCCCCGCCTGTCACCTGGGGCATTTCGGGCCAAGCTCTGGGGTCCTCCCTGGTAGATAGACCTGACTTACTGTGTCGCTCTCGCCGTCGGAGGCCGGCTGGGCCTGCGTGCTATAGTGGAGCGGGGAGTACACCCAGCACCTCTCGTCGGTGGGCTGCGGGCGGGCGGGCAGGTGGGCGGGCGGGCGGCACGTGCAAGAAGAGCAGGCAGAAGGCAGGGTGAGAGGAGGTGCAAGAGAAAGAGAGGAGGAAGAGAGAAGAGAGGAGAACATAAAAGAGGCGGATCCCCCACAGCGGGTGAGCCCCCCACAACCCGAAGGCGAACCTGTCCCCACCTGGGGCAGCTTCTAGGCTTGGCGAGGGCAGCAAGATCATGGAGGTAGGGTAGCAGGGTCACGCAGGGAGGCGATTAGTTCACGCAAGGCAGGCGGCACAGTGGACGGCAGGCTAGCGATGGCCTCCCTCGAACCCTCCCCTGTCCTGCCTGACCTGCCGGCAATCTAGGGAACAGGGCAATCCCCAGATGAGGCCTAGCACCAACCTCAGGGGTCAGGGGTGAGGCAATCCTGGGAGGCCCCATGACAGTGAGTCATGGAATATGACCATTTTCCAGCTGTTTGGGAGCTATTAGGGACAGGCACCTGTGGCCAGCCAGGTCCCTCCGCCAACCTGGATCTACCTAAGCACCCAAAAGCAGACAGCACGTTTGTTGTAGGGCCTAGGGAGACCCTTGGTCTTCCACTACCTCCTGAGAGCCCAGGAGACCCCCTGCCATGAGGGCAATGGGTAAGTCCAGGCCCTCAGCAAGCAGCAGGGACCATCTGGGCCTGGATCTGAGATGGGGAGAGAGCACAGGAGACAGACACGGTCTCCTCCTCCTTCCTGCCCCCTGCTACCCTCCCTGAGCCACCTCCCCACTACTGGCTGCCTCTTGAGGTATAGAGACCTGTGGACTGACACACTGACCCGGCCTCCACTCAAGGTGCCTGACCTAAGCACACACCACCATTGAGATCAAGTCCAGCAGGGCACCCAAGGTCCCCCTGCCCCTCCTTGATCTGGGTTATATCGGCTCCGCCCACCTGGCCTAGAGAGCCTGGCACACCCTCTTCCCATATCTCTTGTGACCCATCCATGGCCAAGAGCTGCTTGGCTCCCCACACACTCTGCCAACAGGTGCTGATTCTTCATAGCCCTCCTTTGAGGAACAGCCCGCCCCCCCCCACACACACACACATATACAGGCCTCGGCTGAACCATGAGACTTCACTACTGCCTCTGCCCAGGGAGTCCTGGCTCAAGCCCTTTCCACAGGCATGGGCATCTGGTCATGTCCACTCACCCATGGGGGCCCGACACAGCACCTGACCACAAACACAAACTCAGTACCAACGGCGCAAGTCTGCCCCCGGCCCTTGTGGGAAGGCCGGGAGTGGGGCCAGCTTGTCCCCAGGGCTGGACATAGGGCAGTATGCAGTAGGTGCTCAATATTGGCTGATGGGTGTGCTGGGGCTCAGAGCAAACCCCATGTCAGGTGGTTACTGGATGCCCTGCAGCTGACTCCAGGTCATGAAGACCCCACGTGACAGGAAACCTGCCCATTTCCTCAGCTGCCATTTTTATGGGAGAAGATCACCAGGCCTTTCTTCCTTGGAGCCACTGAGTGGGTTCAAACCACCAAACTTCTGAATAGCATCTGAGCACCTTACTGTTACAGCATGGGGCTCGGGGGGCTGCTTAGATTCTCTCCTGGGTGGTGCAGCTGACTGGACTATAGGGGAGCCTGGACCTGCCCCCCACAAACCCTGGACACATTGGCTCCTCAGTGTCCACTGGGCAAGGTAGACACGGGGGTCCCATGGTGGCTCACAAACACAGATCTCAAGGTCTCTTCTCTCCTGGCTATCTCGCACCTGCGTGACCCCCGCCCTTGCAATCCCCGCAGGCGGCCCTGACCCCTGCCGGCTTTCTCTACGAACACAAGGAGACGTCTCTCAAAGTCTGGGTCCACCATGCCAGGCGACCCAGCCCTTGCTGCTCACAAGCCCAATGTGGTGCTGAGAGTGACCTGTGGGGCAGCTGAGGTTTGTGAATGGGGTCTGGCGGGCAGTCCTGAGGGACTTCTCTACCACAGTCCACCTGAGCCTATCCCTGCCCCCACCTCACTGTGTGGCTCTCGGCAAGTCCCTGAACCACTTGGGGCCCATTTCTTCACTTACAACCACGGGCACTGGTAGTTCCACACCATGGCCCTGAGCCCACTGGGTGAGTGTCTGAGAGACTGAGGGCCCGCCTGGGAGAATGAACGTGATCTGGACTGTGTCCGATCCCTGCTTCTCCTCTGTGATGCGGGTACCGAGTATACCAGCTGCCACCTCCTCTGCCCCTCAGCTGCCCCAAGGGACTGTCCCTGTGCAGGGGGCACATGCCCTCTTGGGGAACTGTTACCTAGGTCTCAACATAGAGACACGTCTACTGTGTGGCTGTCTGCCCGTCCATGGATGGCTGGGTGAGGGGCAGATGTGGGCTGGGGGCACAGGCTGGGGTCAGAGATAGACCCCCACACCAGGCCTCCATTCAGACAGGACACACTGTCATCAAACTCACATACCCACTACACACATATGTGGTGCTGTGTGCATCCAACCATGCCAGCCACACAATGTGTTCCCCGAAGTACCCTCAAAGACCAGGGACCGCCAGGCAGTACACCGAAGGCCAAGACCAGGGACCCTTGTCCCCGGGGGGCCGGCAGCGGTCACTTACAGTCCCCGAGGAGCTCGGCGTCACGGCCCGCAGGCGGCGATGGCGGGCTGAGTACATCCAGTACCTCCCGTCCGTGAACTGGAGGGCGGGGGCCGGGCAGGAGGAAGGAGAACAGAGGAAGAGGTGAGGTGGGGGCCGGGTGGCAGGCAGCAGGCGGGACAGAGCAGGAGGGACACAGACGAAGATGCACAGGGCAGACTATGTGGGGGTGGGGAAGGATGGAGAAGGAAGGTGGGAGATGGGGGAGACTGGGCGCTCCGGGTGTGGGCTGGGCACTGCTGAGAGATGGGCATTACCCAGTGCACAGGGAGCAGGCGCGTTAGTGAGAAGCAGTGAGATGGGGGGTGGGGGGGGCATGCTCGCCACATCAGTCCCTGAGCTGAAGGCTGGCCCAGCTGCCATCTCTCTGGGTGTGCAGCGCCAGGGAGGAGGCGACCAGAGGTCTTCCATCAGGGAATCACTAGGCTGGGCCCACCACACCCCTAGGCTTCAGCCAGGCATCTCCAGTTACCAGTAGGAGAGGCAGAAAGAGTGAGGGCCCATCAGTCCACAGATCTGTGCCCCTCGGTCCACAGAGCAGGCAGCAGGAGCCCACTCGCCATGTGCTCTCAGACAAGTGAACCTGCTTTTCTGGAAGTTTCTGTGCTCGCCTCGAGAACAGAACCCACCACAGAGAGGGGGGAAGAGCTTTGTCATTCCAACCCTGCAGGCCCCAGGACCCTGGGGAACAGGTGGCCCTGCTGGGCACCACGGGGCCTCAGAGCTGCCGAGCCTGGGGAAGGAACAGAAGGTACCTCACTCTGTGAGTGTGTGACAAAGGACCTGGGCGCCGGCCCTGTGTGTGCGCACGGGTGTGTGCAAATGTCTGAGTGTGTGTGCACCTGTGCCTGTGAAAGTGTGCGCGCAGGAGACCGTGTACACGGGTGAAGGTGTGTGTGTCTGTGTGTGGGTGAGTGTCCGCTGTGCCTGTGACAGAATGCGACTGGGTGGGTCTGTGAGCCCATGTTTTCCTGTAATGGTGAGAGAGAGAGGATTTGTGTTTCGGGCCCACAGGGCCCAGAGGTGGAAACCACCGGGACACTTACAAAGTAGATGTCGGTGGCTGGGGCGTCGTCCTCATCCGAGGCCTGGCTAGCAGGCTCTGAGGCCTGGCTGGTGGTCTCCACTTCCGCAGCAGCTGAGGCGCAGGCAGAGGGAGCCTCCCCCCTGAGGACAGATGACACGGGTGTCCAGGGCAGCTATCTCAGCAGCACCCACCTCCCAAGACCTAGCCTGTGGGTGCTTCCAGCTTCTCCGTGCCCCCCAGATCTACTGCAGGGCATTCAAACTGAGACTTTACAGGCATTTTTTTTTTTTTTTTTTTTAAATAAAGATTCAATAAAATTAGAACCAAGTACTGGAAAGATGAGCAAAAAAATCTGTAAATTGTTGGAAGTTGAGAAAGTCCTCAAGAATTTTTAACTCCCATTCCTAGTTAAGGAGCTCTGGTATTATAGTGGTTATGAGTCAGCAGTTTGAAACTACCAGCTGTTCCACAGGAGAAAGATGAGGCTTTCTTCTCCTGTAAAGCTTTACAGCCTCGGAAACCCTGTACAGGGTCGCTATGAGTCAGAACGGACTCCATGGCACATAACAACAACAACAACAACAACATCCCTAGTTATGACAGCCACAAACGCTCCAAGACACTTCCCAGTGTCCCCTGGGTGGCAAAGCTGCCCTTGAATGGTTGAGAACCACAGCCTTAAAAAGAAAATGAAAATGACTACTCATGTCAGTAAACAGATGACTTTCTTCACGTCAGACCCTGTGAGATGCAGTAAAAGCAATCCTCACAGAGAAATACATGCATTCCCTTTAAAGACCCTCCTCATTAAAGAAAGGGGAAAAAAGAAAGAATCGAAGTCCTCAGACTAAACTGGATAAAAAGAAACTAAACCAGAAAATAGACAACAGGTAGTTGAGGGCTCACAGAATAAGTTGGAAGTTAATGAAGTAAAATCATAACAGAATCAAGAAACTAAGCCCAGATTCATCATCGTTTCTTGCAAGCTAAGAAAGAGGGCAAAACAGGGCTAGGTGAGGAGAGAAAGGACAAAAACCCTCCAGATGGCTGACGAGAAGTAAAGAATTGAGATCATCACTACTGTTGTTCACAGCTCTGGTGGCAGATGTTGTTGCTAAGTGCCGCCGAGTTGGGATCCGACTCATAGCGACCCTGTACAGAGACTGTGTACAGGGTTTCCAAGGAGCAGCCAGCCTAACCGACTTTACAGTTTACCATCTTAACCGGCAGATGAGGGAGGTATCTAAACGAAGCCCACCTCCACAATCCCAACAACCTACCGCTTCTCTGGTTGTTCAAGCTCACCAGTCACTCCTTGGAAACCCTATATAGGGTCGCTATGGGTCGGAACCGACTCAACAGCACTTTAATAACAACAACAACAGAGCCCTAGCACTGCTGAGTGGACTACATTTCCCAGCCTGCCTTGCTGTCAAGTGTGACCATGTGACTGAGCCTGGCCAATGGGTTTGAAAAGAAATTATGTGTCCATATTCTGAGTACTTTTGACTGCTCTGTTCCCTCTCCACCAGTGGGGAGGGATGCAGACATGAAGGTGGAGGCCACCTTGGACCTTTAGGATGGGGAGAATAATTGGAGGGAGCAAAGAGGTGGAGGCATCAGGCTGAGGTGAAGAAGGGGTCTGGGCAGTGGGGGAGCTGATGGCCACTCACCCTGCATCCACCACCTTGGGGACTACAATCTCCACGCTGCACGTGGGCTCCACCTGCACTGTGATCTGCTGCAGGTCCTCGTCCACAGGGACCTCCTCCTGGGGCCTGAAGGCAGCGGGACAGCACCTCAGGGTGTCTTCCTGACCCTCGCCCCCAGGTCCCAGCCCATATGACGCACCATCTCTGGGTACCCCTGGCCAGCATTCTGAGTTTCCTCAGGTTGGCCTGGCCCCAAGACTCTCAGGCTCAGGGACAAAGGATGGGGACCACAGTGGGATGGAAGGGGGGAAGCCCAGGGGAGGCAGAAGGGGAAGAGGAGAGAGGAGCCCCAGGTACAAAGGGGAGAGAAGGAGCAGGGAGGAGAGGTCAGTGGATAGGAGAGTCCAGCGTGGGAAGGAAGCAAAGATGAGTGGTGTTGGGGAAAAGGCACAGCGCGAGAGGGGAGCCCAGGGGGAAGGAGGGGAGGATAAGGGTAGGGGCCTCACCGGCCATCCTGTCCGGCGGACTGAGTGCGACGCCTGTGCAGAAAGACACACGCAGAAGTGGGTGAAGGGGTGACCACTCACCCCTACCTCCGTAAGACTTCTGCACTTCTGCCCCTCCCACTACTTGCTGCCCTGCCCCTAATCCCTCAACGACGTCCACGCCCACCTGTAGCGTTATTGCTCTGCCCTATGTACCTCCCCCACCCCCAAGTCCCAAACACCCTCAAGTCCCATAGACCCGCAAGAGCCCACCTGTACCGTGGCTGCTCTGACGTCTCTGATGGCGACCGCTCAGGAATGGACAGGGAGGTGGACGAAAGGGTGGTGGCGATGGAGGCGGTGGTGGCTTCTTCGAAGGAGGGTGGTGTGCAGGGCAGCAGGTCGGGCCGGCCTGCAGGAGGGCACGCACAGCACTCTGGGATACCCACCCACCACCCCCAGGTCTCAGGGCCCCGCCCACACTGCCCATCTACACCAGGGATCCTCTACTCCCAGGCCAAAGGTGCATGCAGCCCTTGGATGTGTCACCATCTGTGATGGCTCCCTGCGCCTCCCGGTTACCTTCGTCCTCAAGCGTGGGGTAGCTGCGGGCCCCGCGCAGGTCGTACTGCGCATCCTCCCGCTCGCTGGGGATCTGGCTGGCTGAGAAGGCGGCCGTGGGGCCCAGGGGCTTGACAGCCAGCAGGGCCCCTCGGCCCTTTTTGGACGGTGAGGACTTCAGAGCTGTGGAGGGAGGGCAGTCAGTGCTGTGCAGAGGACACTGAGGCATGAAGACAGGAGCCGAGACCGAGAACACGTGTGGGCTCCATTTTATGCCCAGCAGGACAGAGCCCTGAGCCCCCCTCTCCATCTAGGGGCGGGTCACTTACAGGAGGTCTTCCGGAAGACCGTGTTGCTCATGAACTTGAAGAAACGCTCAGCATAGAAACTGGGACGGTGGACAGAAACTGTGTCCTAGGGGAGAAGCGAGGTGGGACAGTGAGGGGAGGCACCGAGGGCTACTCCATGGGACACAAAATCAGATGAAGCCCTGGTTGTGGGGTCTAGGAGATGGGCAGAGGGCAGTGAGACCGGTGTGAGATCATGTGATGGTGAGTACACACACACAGGCCCCGGCAACACAACCGGGAGCCCCAAAGAAACCAAAGGGTTCTAGTTAATAATCGTGTCAATAGAGGCTCATCAGTTATAACCAACACAAAATGCAAGCACTTCCCCTGTCCCTGGGGGCTGGCGTGTGGCTAGGACTCTGGACAGGTGTTGGTGGCATTTCCAGATTAAGCCCACGTAGGAAGAAGGAACTCCTGGCATGGCACTATAGGATCAGCACTGGACCTCGAGCCTCAAGGTCGGTAGCTGCACCTCGGAAACCCTATACAGGGTTGCTGACTTGACAGCACTTAACATGGCCTTCTGAAAACCAGCCCAGGAAAAACCCCCAGATCTCAATAGTCCAATCAGCAAACTGGATCTGGGGTTGGTGCAGGTCCCAGCAGTGTTCTGTTGAGCGTTGTGAGTGGGGTCTCTGTGAGGCAGGACTAGGAGACCACTAACAGCCGCAAAACCAGCAGGGAGAGCAGTAAGCCAGGCGGGCAGCATGTGGGACTCTCAACGTTTGACTGTTTTTCTGTAAACCTACTTCGGTTCTAAAAAGAAAGCCTGTCATCACACACACAGTAAGGACCACAGTTGACATCTCTGCCAGAGTGGGATCTAAGAGATGGGGGACAGGCATTGCCTTGGGGAGGGATGGTCCTGATAATCCGGTATCATCCCTTGGTATCTGAGGCGGACTACTTCCAGGACCCCTGCGGATACTCAAATCCCAGGAGTCTCAAGTCCCCCATATAAAATTATGTTGTATTTACATATAACCTACACACACTCTACTATATACAAGGGGGCTTCAAAAAGTTCGTGGAAAAATTCTACTATCCTTTCATTCCATTTTTCCATGAACATTTTGAAACCTCCCTCTTTGTTCTTCAAATCATGTCTAGATGACTTACAAGACCTAATACAATGCAAAGGTTCTATACAGAGCACCTTACTCTTGGCCTTTGAGGGGCTGCTGAGATCACTTCATGGCTCCCCGCCTCCCAAAATATTTTCACTCAGAGCATGGTTGAATTAGTAGATGTGAAACTAAATTTGTTTGTATTTTTGGGGGGTGTGAACCATGTTAACAAAAACCTATTCAAAGAAGGAAATGAGTAACTTCTTGTCAGTTGCTTCCAACTTGTAGGGAGGTCATGTGATAGAGTAGACCTGCCCCTTAGCGTTCCTAGGCTGTCTCTCCTGTTTCTGGACATTTTGTCAGGAAGGACCAGTCCCTGAAGAAGGACATCATGCTTGGTAAAGTGGAGGGTCAGTGAAAAAGAGGAAGACCCTTCAACAAGATAGGCTGACGTAGTAGCAGCAACAATGGATTCATACATAGCAGTGACCGGGGACAGCTCAGGACCAGGCAATGTTTGGTTCTGTTGTGTCCCGGGTTGCTATGAGTTGGAACTAACAGGACAGCATCTAACAACAACAATATTTACAAGAACCAGTCATCAGACCTTCTCCTGAAAAGTCGTTGTGTGGGTTTGAACTGCTGACCTGTCGGTAGGTGCTAACTGCTGTACCACCAGAGCTCCTTAAATGAATAAGCAGATGTTAAAATAAAAAAGTCAGAGGGTTTCTCTCAAACAGGGGCTAACAAACTACAAACTGCAGTGGCTGCCAACTTTTATAAATAAAGTTTTATTGGCACACAGCCATGCCCTTTTCTATGCACACACTGGCTGGACACGCCTGTTTGCCCCCAAAATGCTCCTCAGAGGAGCAAGGGGGAGCTTGCTGAGATCTCCAATTTTATAGACTGCAGCCATACTAAGAGTCCTCAACACTTGAGTAAGAATTGGTCTGATACTCCTCGGGTGCCTGGAGCTGGCTGGGGACAGGGCCCTTCAGTGGGGGGCTGGTCTTATGCTGAGGCATGGCTAGGTGTTGGGCCCACACAGGGCTAGCACTCAGGGTCCGTTACTTTTTAAAGACTTGCTTGGTAAGTGCCATCAAATTGGTTAGGGCTCACCACGACCCTGTATAGGGTTTCCAAGGCTTTAAATCTTTGGGGAAGCAGAAAGCCTCATCGTCTGCCCAGAGAACGGCTGGCGGGCTCAAACCATGGACCTTGTAGTTGGCCATCCAGTGCTTACCATGGGAGCTATGTTGTTGTTGTTAAGTGCCATCGAGTCGGTTCCGACCCATAGCGACCCTGTACAGGGTTTCCGAGGGTGTAAATCTTTGCGGGAGTAGAAATCCTGATCTTTCTCCCGCAGAGCAGCTGGTAGTTTCGAACCGCTGACCTTAAGGTTCGCAGCCCAATTTGTAACCACTACACTACCAGAGCTCCTTATAGGAGCTATAAGCTATGGCACTCCCAATTTTAAAGACTGGGCTGCCAGTATTCCTGGTTAACATTTACATATCAATGAGTAGTTTTTCTGAGATCTACCCACGCTGGGCCTGAACCCCAACGCCAAAACAGTATCAGAGGCCAGTGGTGCTGCCCCTTGAGGCCCACCAGGCTGCTCCATGGCCCCCACACCCCTGATGTACTGGAACAAATGATTCCTCAGGAACCCTGCCAAACTCAGCCTGGGGGCCTGCCCACAATGGTCTGACCTTGACCACAGGGGGTGTTTTGGCTGCCTCAGTGGGGGACCCTGAGTTACAGTGCCTCCAGGGAGGGGGGACAAGGTCCACCTTGTCCCTCAGTCCTTACTCTGAGGGTGAGGGGTGGTAGGGACTGAATGAATGAATGATGCTTACCCCATCATGTACAAGAGCCTTCCAGGTGTGTTCTAGCTTCTTGATGAACCTGCAGAGATGAAACGCCCAGAACATCAGCACGCCCTCCCACGCAGGGGGGTTCTCACGCAGGGCAACACTGCCCCCAGAGGATATGTGTGGATATCATGACTGGCATCGAACGGCTGGAGACCAGGGATACTATCTATAATGCACAGGGCAGTGCCACCCCAGAGAAGGATCTGTTCCCCATGTAAGCAGTGTGCTAGAGGGACAACCCCACTGTGAGGAACTGAGCTGCCCCCTCCTCCATCCCCCTGACCCTTGTCCTGGGGAAGAAGTGAGAAGACAGACAGGAAGGGGACAAAAAGCCAACACTGTCCCTTCCTTTTCCAGTCAGGACAGTAGCATTGGCTGTTTTCGAGTTTTGAACTTTGCTTTTCATGCTGTTGGCGTCCTGGTGTGGTGCTGTAGGACAAGAACTGGCCCACAGGTCAGTGTGATATCAGCTGCTCCGGGGAACCCCTGTGCAGGCTCACTGAGTCAGAACCGACTCCACAGCACTTGACAGCAGTACTGCTGTTGGTGCCAAGACACATGGAGGTCTCCCAAGAACGCTGGGCCTACAGATGCTGAGACAAGGACTGTCCTCCACAGCCGGCTAGACTCCTGCTAAGGCGCTGTAGGATGAGCACTAACTGCTAACTGAAAGGTCAGTGGTTCAAGCCCACTAACTGCTCCTTGGAAACCCTATACACGGGTGCTATGAGTTTGAACAGACTTGACTACACTTAGCAACTATAAACTGTGAGACAGGAGTGCTGGCAGCCTAGTGGGTTACGAGTTGGGCTGCTAACTGCAAGGTCAGCAGTTCTAATCCACCAGCCACTCCACAGGAGAAAGATGACGTTTTCTGCTCCTGTCAAAATTTAGCATCTTGGAAACCCTATACAGGCCTGCTATGACTTGGAGCAACTCGATGACATAAAACAATTAGTGCTTGGGTGAGAGATCACACGGGTATTTTGATTTGCATCTCTCTAACAAGATCGCTATGGGTCGGAACCGACTCGATGGCACTTAACAACAACAACAACAACAACAAGATCGCGAGCATCTCTTCATATGTGTATTGGCCTCCTAAATATCTTCTTTGGTGACGTGTCTTTTCATGTCCTCTGCCCATTTTTAATTGGATTGTCTTTTTCTTGTTGAGGTGTTGAAGTGTTCTATAAATTTTAGAGGTAAGTCCTTGTGTGACAGGTCACTGACAAAAAACTTTTCCCCAGTCTGTGGGTTCTCCTTCTACTCTTTTGGTGGAATCTTTTGATGCACATTAAGTGTCTAATTTTTAGGAGGTCCTAGTCATCTGTGTTGGAAGTACAGCCAGAGTGCTCCTGGGAAGAAGCCAGGATGGCCAGACTTTGTCTCTCATACCTTGGACAGATTATTAGGAAGGACCAGACCCTGGAGAAGGACATCATGTTTGGTAAAGTGAAGGCTTGGAGAAAACGAAGACCCCCAACGAGATGGATTGGCACAGTGGCAGCAGCGATCAACTCAAACGTAGCAACAATTTTGAGGTTGGCGTAGGAGGCGGCAGTGTTTTGTTCTATTGTACATAAGGTGGCTATGAGTTGGTACTGACGTATTAGGGCCCCTCAATTTGTCTGTTTTTTTTCCATTGATCATCTTTACAGTTCTGAGTTTTACATTTAGGTCACCCACCTTGATTCATTTTGTAAATGGTGCGATATACGGGTTCTGTCTCGTTCTTCTGCAAATGGAATTTCAGTTTGGCTGGCACCATTTGTCAGAGACTGCTTCATCCCCCATTTAATGTGGCCCTCTGTCAAAGATCAGCTGACCAATGGTGGAGGGACTGACTTACGCGGTTTTCAAATCTGTTCCTCTGAGTCTTACGTTGTACCAGTATCCGGCTGTTTTGACCATTGTGGTTGTGAAGTAGATTTCTAGATTGGGAAGTAAGAGGCCTTTGTTCTTCTTTCATAATGCTTTGCTTATCTGGGGTCTCTTTCTTTCCCATATAAAGCTGGTGAATTGTTTTTCCATCTCTTTAAAGAATGCTGTTGGTTGGAACCTGGATTAGGATTGCATTGTATCTACAGATTACTTTGGATTATCCTGACATTTTCACCATTAAATATCCCTATCCATGAAACTATCCATTAAATATCCCTATCCATTTTTGGAGGTCTCTTTTTTTGGGGTGATGGTGGTAGGAGTAAGAAGTTAGGGTTAGAACATTGGCAAGGTCTAGGCTATGCCTAGAACTTGGTTTAGTGTTAGGCGTCCGGTTAAGACTGGGGTTAGTGTTGGGGTAGAGGCTGGGCTAGGCCTAAGAGTTGGTCTAGTTTTAGGGTCACAGTTAGGTTTACTTTTATTGTTTTCCTTGAAATCTACTTGACTTCCTCTTCATTTGAAAGTTCTGTGACTACAATAGCCCCTCTTGTATTTGTTGTTGTTGTTGCTTGTTTGTCTCTGATTCCCTAATTTCAGTCTTATAGGTTTGCTTCACTTTGAATACCACCATATGTGAGTTGAATCCTACATGCTACTGTCATGCATGTTAGTCTCAGGTTATCTGCTATTGTTGGTTCTGTCCAAACAACTCCCTTCAGTAGTTTTTGTAAGGTTGACCTCGTTTTTACAAATTCTTTTTAATTTCTGTTTTATTTAGAAATGTTCTAATTTTGCCATCATATTTGAAAGGCAATTTTGCTGGCTCCATGATTCTTGGTTGGCAATTTGTTTCTTTCAGTCTTGTATATGACATTAGATTGTCATATTGCCTATGTCGTTTCTGTTTAGAAATCCAAGTTTGGAGGTAACTTTTCATTGTTCCTGAGCAGCTCTCAGGGTTTTTTCCTTCCTTGTCTTTGGTTTTGAAAGGTTTGGTTACAATCTGTCTTGGTGATTTCCTTTTGGGGCCTATCCGTTTTCTCATCTCTCATGACGTTAGGGAAGGGAATTTCAATCACACGTGTTATTCCTCTGATGGTGTTGCACATAAATCTTAGGCTTTCTTCATTTTTTTTTTTTTTTTTATTCTTCTGACTCCTCCTCTGTTAAATGCCGAGTCAGTTCTGACCCATAGCAACCCTGTGTAAGGTTTTCGAGGAATGGCTGGTCAGTTTCAACTGCTGACCTTGTGGTTAGCAGTCCAGTGCTTATCCTACAGCATCACATCTAGATGGATATTGAGAGATCTGTCTTTGAGCTCAGTAATTCTGGCTTCCATTGATTCAATTCTACTTCTTTGTTCTACCAGTGTACTATCTATTTCTGAATTCTTGGTAGTGGTAGAAATCCTCTGGCTTTCTAATCACTGTTTTGGTATTTGGTTTATCATTTTGTTCTGAATTCTTCGAAAGTGTTTGCTGTGCTCTCCTTGCTTCTCTCTATCTGCTGAAGGTCCGTGGTTACCATTCTTTTAAATTCCTTATCAAATAGTTCTGAGACCATTTCTAATATTTCATGGCCAATTGTTTGAGGCATTCTGTCTTGTTTCTTCATGGAAGCTGACATTGTCTGTTTTCTCCGAGATATTGTGGTGTGTTCATGTTTGTATTTGATGACTGCATGTTGGTGTGTTCTCGGGAATTCACCAACTGTCTCCTTGTGGATGTAAAAGAGATTGGAAGTGTGAGCACAGTTCTCTGTTCACTGTTTTTGTACTGTAGTTCAGGGCGGGGTCATGCACCCCTAGAAGCAGGGATGGCACTTCCTGCTTATGACCTCAGGCAGAAGAGAGGCGTTAGAGCAGAGGGTGCCACTAGCCACAGGGTTGGTGAGGACAGGGATTGGCCACATGCCCGGCTATCAGGAAAGCACAGGAACAATGGGGAACTAGACTCCTTTGCGGCCAGCCTCCAGCCTCATCCTGAGCCTATGGACTACTGCCCACCCATTTTTCTTCTCTCTCCATGCTCCTGTTCCGCTTTCCCCTCTAGTCGGCACTCAGTCCATCTGGAGTTCCACTTTCTGAAGGCTCCTGGCTCCAGGATCACTTCCCTGTCTGCTTCACTGGGTCTCCTGGGTCTCTACTGTGGAGGATTGGCTCAGTGGTCTGCCTGCTCCACCATCGTGTCCCAGAAGCCTTTTGGTTTCTTGTCATAGTGGTTTGTAGTTTTCTTTGTATAGGTCTTTTGTTCCTTTGGCTACATTGATTCCTGAGTCTTTCATCTTTTGTGTGCTTATGTTAAACGGCATTGGGGATTTTATTTGGAAACCTTATCCTATCCATCCTTTAGCTCTGATCTTGTCCCTTCAGACTTCTTTTTGTCCTCCAGATGCAAAGAATATTTTCAAAGGAACATGATTTGAATCCCCTGAGTGCACACTGAAGAGCACAGAATTCTTCAGGGCAGTGTTAGTGTGAAGGAGACACCGCCGTCCCAAGTGTCTAGGCCAAGATGGAGGCTGTGCGGAGAAACAACAGCCTCGCATGTTGATACTTCTAATAAAGGTTTCTAACGACTTTGTAGCAATACCTTTTGACATAATCTCATTATTTTAAAAAAATAAAGAAAAACACTGTCAGATGTCAGATCGTAACAGCCTAATGCAATGGGGGGGATGTGGATGGAAAATGAGGACTTCCACTCCGACCACCTACCCCTTCTGGCACATTTAAATTATTTATGGGGAACTCCAGACCCCTGAAACAGTTGCGAAACTGAGATCATCTTTAAATCTTAAAACCAGAGAGATGCCCCGAGTTCTCCTTTCAACCACACAATAGTTTAGCTTCACTAGTAAAGTACATTGGCTATGAGCACTGTGCTCATTTTGGGATCAAATCAGCAGCAACTTGAAAGTTCAGCTAGGAAGCTCAAAGGGCAGGAAGCTGGTGTTCACTGAACCACCCCGAAAACGCGGGTGAGAATGGTTATAACCTGAAGCAAGCAAGGTGGTGTCTCTAACTTGAGCCTGGAGAAACGACTGAAGTATGTTCTCCTATGCACCTGTCTGTGTCACCACCACCTCAAATAAATGAGTAAAAGGACACTGGAAACATCCGCCCATCACCACGCCTCATAGGGGATGGGGCTAGCGTCGAACCATTTCCAACCTGGACTCTATGAATGCTCTACGAATCAGGGGCTGTGGTGTCTAGAATGTTCCCTAGAAATGAGCTGAAAATGAAGCCCCTGGCACCTGTCATTGCAGATGGCATCAGTTAAGAGGCGGGCACACGGGAGCCCTCACCGGAGAAGAGCTCAGAAAGGGCAGAGACCAGTGCGATGCCGCTACATGCCCAGGAGTGCCAGGGCTCGCAGGTTCCGGGGCCCCAGAACACGGAGGGAGCACCTGTGTTGTTTAAAGCTAAGCAGGGCAGGATGGTATTACGGAATCTTCCAGAAAGAGACGGCGGGGTTGAAGCAGGAAGCATGCTGCAGGGATGATGGGGGCTCCAGCAGGGCAGCATGGTGGGCTGTGACACGTGGTGGGGGGAGGGGCCGCGTAGCAGGTCACGAGACACGTGACACGTGAGGGGAGGGACAGCCTGATGGACCGTGAGACACATGGGGGGGCAGTGTGGCAGGCCGTGAGACACGTGGGGGTATGGGCGGTCTGACGCACCATGAGACGCGTGGGGGAGGCGGCGCTGGGCTCCAGGCACCCACCTGTAGGACTGCAGGATGTCAATGATTCCGATGTGTAGCAGCAGACGCTCCCCGCGGCCGTTCACGGCCGGGATCCCGCCCATCCTGGGAGAAAAGGGTGGAGACAGGTGGTCAGCACCTAAAGGGGAAGGGGGCTCCTGCTGTGGACCTAGTCTGCACCGGGAAGAATGGTAGTGGGCCAGGAGCCTTCATTCTGGGGGCCACACTTGGCCCAGGACTGAGCCAAGAAGGGAGGAGCAGGCAGAAAGAGAGGTCAAGGAGCCTCTGTGGGCTCAAGAGTCCACTCAGACACCCCAAATAAGCGGCAGTTCGGCTGGACCTAGGAGACAGACCCTGGTACCTAGGACTCCCAGCCCCGCAGGGGTCTGGCTGGTCTCACACACATGCACACACATGCACGCTCACACCCACAAGCTTGCACACACACACTTGCACAGGTGCTCACACACACACCCCAACATGCGCCTGGCTGGACCACCAGAGGATCAGGACCCTGTGGGATTAATCACGTCACTCGCTGTCAGGGCTACGCTAGTGAGAGCCAGCTCAGAGGTAGCAGCCCACAAGCATCCCCATCCCAGAGCTGGGAGGCCCCGCTCATCACTCCATGCATCGCTCACCTGAGCCCCCAGCCTCTCCCCGCTGGGCCCCTGCGCAGACCCTACAAAGGCCGAGATGGTCTGAGGGTACGTATAGTGGCTGCTCACCCGAGTCTAGGCCCTGACCCTCTGTAGCGGGTGACTGAACCCAGCTCCATTAGCCCCTGAGACTTGGCCTCCCGGTGTGACAGTGGATCCAAGTCACCCTTGTTCTCCAGGGTCCCCTGGGGCTCACTGATGGGACAGGACGGGAGCAAGGCACCAGCAGCCGGCTGGGGAGTCCACCACCAGGACACACAGACAACACGTACACCCGTCTATGCAGAGGTCTCCCCACCACTCTGTCCCCAGGGTCACTGAGCTACATCTGGGGACATTTGTGGTTGTCACAATGGGGTGAGGGTGGCTGCTACTGGCATCAAGTGGGTGGATACCAGAGATGCTATCCCACAGTGCACAGGACGACCCACCCTAGGGGTGTCCTGGCCCCTTGTCAGCAGCACCCAGAGGGTGGGGTTCTGCATGTATTATCTAGAAAAACATTTGAGTCCCTGCTCAGATCGTCCACCAGAATAGACACCCACTGGGTCAGACGGTGTCAACCAGGGGGCCCTCCCACTCCTGGGATTTCCCTCCCCTCTCCTCCATACTCAGTGTGAATTTCATCGTGGGCAGCATCCTACTAGGACGCAGGGCATCAGATGATGATGGGAGGGAATCTCTCCTTGGGGGGGAAGATCAGTGGACTCTCCTAGCACCTGGGTCCTCATCTGGAGTGATTCTGTCTCCAGGGGACATTAGGTGATGTTTGGAGACATTTGTGGTTGTGGGGGGTTCTATTGGGATCAAGTGGGTAGAGACCAGGGAAGCTGCTCAACAGTCTACAGTGAGAAAAAGGAGCTTATAAGAGGGGCCCTGATTCCCTCAAAGGTGGTCCGGTCAGACCCCCCCTTCCTCCCTGGGGCCCAGGAACGTCCACCAGCGTCTTTGGTGTCCCACTCAGTCTCTGCGCTGTCAATGTCCCTGTCCTTGAAAGAAGAGAGACGTGAACAGAGGCTGAGGGGCCTACTGCCCCCAAGAAAGAAGAGCCAGGAGTGGGGTGCTTCCTTTGGTCCTGGGGTCCCTGCCCTGTGAAGCTCCCAGATCCAGGGAAGACTGATGCCAAGACTCACGGAGCTCTCCCAGGAAGGCTGGGCCGGCAGATGATGACAGGGGACAAGGACCTTCCCTCCCCAGAGCTGGTCCTTCTAGTCTCCTAAACTGAAAGAGAATCCATTTCGCGTGTTAAAGCCGTCCACTTGTATTTGTTATAGCAGCACCAGATAACTGAGGCTGAATGAAAGTGTGAAAGCGGCTATGGAATTGTATAATGAATAGAAGAGACTGGAAGAGACCTAAGTTACCTAATAGTAAAAGATGCCTTCGAGAGATCGAGGAACATGGGAAGCAGAGCTGCCTTACTCTCAAAAGGTTGAGCCGTGACCTCTGGGCTCTCAGAGGATAGAACCATGACCTCTGGGACTTTTCTTAAATTTGAAGGAGTTGACTCTTTCACCAACTTGGTTCCGGAGTGTGGGGCTGCTGTTAAGAAGGGACCTCTGCCCAAAGCTGAGGACGCGGGGCTGCCATGCCCAAGCAGACAGAAGGACGGGGCATGCCAGGACTGAGTGGGCAGGGTTACCACTCAGATGGACCAGGAGAGTGGGGCTGTCTGGAGACGACAGAGCAGAGTTGCCAGTCCAGTGGGCCTGGAGGGCAAAACGAAAGTTCAGGGTTGAGGGGCCTCTATCCAGAATTCAGAGTGCATGGCCAACACCCAGAGTCTGAATGCAGGGCCACTGCCTAGATGGTCTCAGGAGCAGAGAATTCAAGCCTTGAGAGCCAGTGTCCATTCTTCTGCTGTGTTTTTAACTTGCTTGGTGCCGGTTATTCCTTCTTGCCCTCCAATTGCTCTCATGTATAACAGAAATGTATATCTATCTTGTAAGCTGTCCCAACACTGTACTTTGGAAGTAGAAAACTTGCATTCTTAGATTCACAGATGAAGAGGAGTTTTGTCCCAGGTTGGAATTTGGACTTGGAAGAATCTGGGGATGATGTAGTAGGATTGGAGTCCTGGTGTGGCACTGTGGGTTAATATGCCAGACTGCAAAGCCATTTGAACTGCAAGGTCGGCGGTTCAAGTTCACCAGCCGCTCCTTGAAAACCCTATGCAGGGTTGCTATGGGTCGGAACCGACTCGATGGCACTTAACAACAACAACAACATAATGGGGTTGGTGAAGGATCTCATGTTTGGTAAAGTGGAGGGTCGGAAAAAAAGAGGAAGACCCCCAGAGAGATGGATTGAAATAGTGGCAGCAGCGATGGGCTCAGGTGTAGCAACAAATTGTGAGGTTGGCCCAGGACCGGGCAGGGTTTCGTTCCGTTGTGCCTAGAGTCGCTATGAGTCGGTACTGACTTGATGGCACCTAACAACAACGTAACAGGGTTAGTGCACTTTTGGTTGCAAGTGTGTTAGTTGCATCATGTTAGACTATGTGACTTTACAGCTGTCTTTATTCAGAGATTATGTGTATGGTTTAAAAAGACAAGTACAGGTACCGACTTGACAAAGGGTAGACTGCGAGAGTTAAGGGTTTGTGTCAGCTTGTGGGTCAACATTCTCAAAGGTTTAGCAGTTAAGACGTAGTAACCCCCCACATGAAGATATTAGGTTGCAATCACTTGGCCATGACGTGATCTGAAGTGATTAGCCCTGATCTGATGTGATTATTCTAAATGTTGTAAATCCTTACTTTTATGACATTAACGAGGTCCAATGCAACCCACAGAATTAGCATTGATGTCTAGAGCCGATCTCTTGAGATATAAAAGGAGAGAGATGTGAGCACAGAAGAGAGGCCTACTGCCACCAAGAAACAAGAGCTGGGAGTGGACCTGGGGTCCCTTTAGACCTGGGGTCCCGGTACTGGGAAGCCCCTAGGTCCAGGGGAAGATTGACACCAAAACACGTGAACTCCAAGGCTTGCTGGTTCTACAGATGCTGACAAGAGACCAGGATCTTCTGAGAGCCAACAGAGAGAGAAAACCTTCCCCTAAAGCTGGCCCTCTGAATCTGGACCTGTAGCCTCCTAAACTGGGAGAGAATATATTTCTGTTTGTGAAAACCACTCCCTTGCGGTATTTCTGTTGTCACAACACGAGAGAGTGGAGACAGTCACTAAGACACCTGGACAAAGGTGAGATGAGGACTCCCAGGCAGAAATCAATGGAGGGGCTGGGACCTCGGGGTGGGAAAGGACACATCGCCTCGTGCCTTCGCAATTGGAGAGCCCCCACCTTCAGCCCCGGCACCTACGTGTCATCCGTCTCAATGGCCTCGCCACGAGTGGCACCGCCCTGGATGGACTCCATGGCTGTGGAATAGAGCGCCTTCTGGCCCACTGGCCGCTTCTCGTCGGTGGTGCTCTGGGCGCCCTCGGCCTGGCGTTCACGCTCCTGCAGATCCATGTTGTGCACACCCAGCAAGAGGCTGTAGTCCATGATCTTGAAGCTCTCAAGCACCTGCGGCCAGGGTCAGGGGTCAGGAGGCCAACACGACACCGCATGCCCCCCTCCCCCCACCCACAGGCCAAGGTCACCCACACTCTGGGCCCAGCTGATTTACCCCCATGCCCCCCCTGTTGTGACGCTCTTCTTAACAAGGGGACTTTGGGGCAGAGCAGGTGGGCGTGCAGGGGTCCCCTGAGGCCACAGACTCCTCCTCCTCCTCACCAGGCAGTCGCGCTGCAGTGTCTTGACGAGCGCGGAGAAGGTGTCCGCGTCGAGCATGAGGCCTTCAGGCATGTCCTGGATGAAGTCCAGGTCCTTGTAGGTGGGGATGGTCTTCTCCTTCTCCTTCTTGCTGGCCCGCCGCTTGTACGTGGAGCCCTTGAGGTCAAACTTGAGGTGCATCTTCACGACACGCGGCAGGATGTTGTTCATCACCACCACGCGGATGTTCTTACCTCCGGACTGCACGCAGTACAGCCCGTAGAACTTGGGCAGCAGGGTCCTGGGGTTCTGGTTGAGGTTCTGGGTGGTAGAAGGGGAGGACCAGTCATGAAGGTGGGCGCCTTGGCACACCCCCACGCACCAGCGCAGTCTCTGCTCCTGATGCTTGTGGGGAGCAGACACAGTTGGCACCTCCAGGCCCCACCCATGTGTACCTGGCCGTCTACAGGCAGCCCTCTCTGTCCCACCTCAGCACCCTTAACTTAACATAGGCTGTGGGACTCATTTAGCTACAGACTCTCTGCAGGTCCAAGAGGATCTATTTGTACACAGCTGGGCCCAGGGAAAGTTGTCCCGGTGGCACAGTGGGTTAAGCACTGGGCTGCTAAACATAAGGTTGGCAGTTCAAACCCACCAACAGACGTTTCTCCAAGGGAGACAGATGAGGCTGCGTGCTCCTGTAAAAACGAGTCTCAGAAACCGAAGGAGCAGCTCTCCTCCGTCCCGAGTGATGGGACAGTGGGAGGAGTCCAGAGAGCTGACCCTTGGGGTAGGCAGGCCTTGGGACACACATATACACACCTGCCCACCACCCTGTGCAAGTACCGAGGGCTGGGGAACACTGAAGCACAGTGCACTCAGCAGAACACGGTGGTCTTGGCAGCTGGGGCCCAGATCCGCCTCCCTTTAAGTCAACCACACACGACAGAGCCTGGGACCCCCGACTCACAGAGGGGCCGGGGCAGTGGTTACTGTGGACCCCATTAGGAGTGGTGCCTTGATGAGAAGACACTAATGGTGAATCTGCAGTGACCAAGACAGTCTACCAGCAGCTTGGCCAGGAGGGTGGACTGTCCCCTGGGAGCCCCTGCTGGCCTGAGGCAGTGGCCACTCACGCACCATGTAGTAACCGGGAAGCAGCTTCTGCAGGAACTCCGCCTCCTTGTGCATGACCGTCTTGATGATGAACTCGTCATCGCTGGTGACGTAGAAGAGGGAGCCGCTGGCACCCGGGTTGGAGAGTTCGATCAGCGGCTCATTGCACAGGGAGTACTGCAAGGGGGGCGTGGAGGTGAGGATGCGGCAGTGGGGGGGTGGGGGGACTACAGTAGTGAGGGCATGGTGGCCCCCACCCACCGTGTGCCCAGGACACATGGCACATGGTGACGCTTCTGCCCGATATTCCTGCGACTGGCGGTTACCGGCGCCATGTCACAGACAGAAACTGAGACTCAGAGATGGACACGACTCAGTCCAGGCAAAGCCTACAGCTGGAGAGCTGAACTGTAGGTCACGCTCTGGAGTCTCCCCCTTTGTTTCCCAGCTTCCCTTGCAGCTAGGCTGGACCACAAAGGTCAACCCTGGCCAAGAAATCCTAAACACAGGCTGCTGAGTGTAACTAGGATGAAGGCTCCCAAGAAGCGGGACAGAGATCCTCAGAATGGGGAAGACAGCTCCCTAGAATGGGGGAGACAGTACTTTAGAAAGGGGCAGACAGACCCCTAGAAGGGGGTGGACAGACCCTTAGAAGGGGACAGACAGAGCCTCAGGAGGGGGCAGGCAGCTGGCACACCTCTTTCACAGATCCTTCTCTCCTTCCCACCTATTTCCTGCCTGGAATACAGGTGTGATGGCTGGAGCCGCACTCACCAAGCTTGACCATGAAGCATCCTTGAAGGATGGAAACCATGTACCAAGCATGGGGAAGCCAAGAGAGAAGGGGACCAAGGCCCTATTGAGCAGTCTCCCTACTCCCCACCCAGCGAACCCCTTCCCATGCCTCCTTCCTCACAGCCTCATCCATTTGACGTTCAAGTTCCAGCTCTGTGCTTACATCTTCCTTCCCAGCACTCCTCCCTACCCAAACCTAACAATAAGTTCTATGTCCCAGCACCATTGGTATACACAGCTGAGACCACAGAGCAGACGCTACATCAACATTCACCGAGTGATTGCGTGGGTGGTCTGACACGTGGGAAAATGTGGGCTGTGCCCTGGTCCTTTTGGGCTCTCATGGCGGGGTGTGGGGTCAGTACAGCAGGTCACTTCCGGAAGCAGCTTCAGCGTGGCGAGACCACATCACACTCTCCCACTCCCCCAGGTGTCAGGATAAGGATAAGGCCACAGCCCCTGACCATTTATCCTCCACAGCCCACCATGGGACCTGCCCCTTGAGGGACCATACTGAGTGTTATGCAGACAAACCAGCTCTGGAGGTTCAGAACCAACCGGCCCCCAACAAGGAGCCACAAGACGGTTGGCTGCAGACACCGCCCACTAGGCCAGCCAGCAGGTCTGGAGTGGTCTCATGTCCTCAAATCCACCCACCAGGATGGACAGCGAAGCAGAAGAGTCAGGTGGTCCGGAAGCTTATGCGGCACAGCGGGCCCCCGTGGGTCCACAGAAAACGTAGCCAGCAGTGCCCTGAGCAGCCGGAGTCCAGCTTCGTTTGCCAAACATGTACCATCAGGGCCGGCAAACCCAAGGCATGATCCTCCCCGGGGTCTAGAAGCACTACTCAGTGCCCCCCAGACAAGACTCCAGGGTCGGGCTACAGCCACGCCCCCTGCTCAGACCCTCGGGAGTGAGGACACGGCCTCAGGCTGGGGCAGATGCATTCAAGCTGTGGCCACCAATGGACACCCCGTCTGCCCAGCCCTTCCCTGCCCATTAACAGCAACACCCGAGAACAGAGGCACCCACGGCCAGTTCCCCACTGTGCAATGGGGGGAGAAGCCCTCCTGGACATGGCAGGGCTCAGGCTGCTCCAGATGGGCTGCCCTTACCCCGTGGAGCCCCAATCTCGTGCTGTAGGTAGGACAGTCACCCTGAATAGAGAAACTGGAGCCAGGTTGCATGTACCTCCTTGGGAGATAGGGGAGGACAGGTAGACATTCAGTTTTGCTCCAGAGAAAATACACAAGGTCCTTCTTCTCCAGGTATAAGGAAAGTTCCCAAACAAAGCGGCCACCATCAGTTACCCTCAAAGAGAAAAACCAGGGGTTGGACACAGGTCTCAACGTGCAAGGACCTCAGGGCCCAGAAGAGAGCCCTGTGGATGGGTCAGGCCAGAGTCACAGGAGGTCACAGGGTGGGGTTGCTCAGCTGACAACCCCCAAGAGGGTCCAAGGCCCAGATTTCGCAGGCCCCCCACACTCAACCACTCTTTCTACGGATACAACCCTTGCTTGGCTCACGTCTCAGGGAGGGCAGTGCAGGCTTGGGGCAGCATGTGGCCCAGTTAGCCAATCAGAGAAACAGGGTGTCCTGGTCACACCACACGGGTCCTGGGCTCAGGCACTTAGCTGTTAAATCGAAAGGCTGGAGGTTCGAGTCCACCCAGAAGTACCTCAGAAGAAAGGCCTGGTGACCTTCTGAAAATTCAGCCACTGAAACAGGCCTGTGGAGCACAGCTGTACTGTGACACACATGGGGTCACGGTGACCTGTGATCAGATTGACAGCACGTGGTTTGCAGGCCATGGTGGCTCAGTGGTAGAATTCTCGCCAAACCCCTCCCTGACCCCCTACCCCCTCCACCCCACAGAAGAGCTGGCTTCCACTCCCAACCAAGGCACTTCCTGTGCACCCACCACCCATCTTGTCAGTGGAGGCTCTTGCATGTTGCTAAGATGTTGAACAAGTTCAAGAGGAACTTCCAGACTCGGACAGACTAGGAAGAAAGACCTAAACATTAAGGTCTGACAACCAGCTGCTGAAAACCAGCCAATCGAAGGCCTATGGCTCCGCACAGTCAGATCTGCAGCAGATTCTGGGGACGGCACAGGACTGGGCTACGGTTTGGTTTCGCCACTATACAGACCACACCCCAGATGATGCCTCCCCACCTCCCTGTTGCAATGCCACTTTTCCTGTGCATGGACATCTCGGCTGTTTTCCCACCACTATAAATAGTGCTGTGGGTTCCTCTCAAGCGAATCTAGATCACCCGGGAGCCATTCTGGAAAACCACCAGACTGTGCACAAAACCCTCTTCCATGCCAGTGGGGCTGGCGGGATGAAAGGGGTGTGTGCAGGGGCTGGGTGGAGGTAAGAAAGGGAAAAGCTGTGGGCTAGAACGGGGTATCAGGGACACTGCCCCTAATCTCAGCATCTGAACAGGGCTGCTGTTGCCAAATACTGCTCCTTCCTGGAAGAACATGGCCCCAGCTTCCCTGCAGATTAAGATAAACCAGAAATGAGCTCACCCTCACAGACCAGCAAACACCAGGAAGCAAGTCACCATGAGTGAGCATCAGTAAAACCCACTAACAGTATGGACTGAGCCGTGTGCCCAGAAAGGGGGCCACATCCTAACCCCAGCCCCTAAGAACGGGGCCTGTTTGGAAACATCCTCGGCCTAATGTCACTGATGACATCTTCGCAGATGGGGCTGGTCAGGTGTCCTTATGAAACAGGGAAGGACAGGAATTGGAGTGATACTGTAGCTGCAAACCAAGGACTGCCTAAGACCACCAAGAGCCAGGGGAAACCAGTAAGGACCATCCCCTACAGTCCTGGGCGAGAGTGTGGCTCCGCTGATACTCTGAAATCAAACCTTGGGCCTCTAGGGTTATAAGTTGTTGGGGGACCCTGCTTTGTGGTCATTGGCTGAGGCAACCCTTGGAAGCAGGAATACTTGTACCCAAGCACTACAACGCTAGAGTTACCAGAGGCAGGCTATGAAAAGGCTGTGTAAGCGCCCTGCTACACTATCAGGTTCCAACCGCCCCGCCCCGGTCTGTCAGTGCCTCGCCCTGTGGTGTTGCTGTGATGTTGGAGGCTAGTCCACTAGGATCTCAGATACCAGCAGAGTCACTTAGGGTGGGCAGGTGTCAGCAGAGTTTCCAGACTATAACACACTGGAAAGAAAGGCACAGAAAAATCTTTTAGTTCCGAAAATCCACTCGTGGGAAAAACCCGTGGATCACAGCCAAACAGGTCCGACACAGCACAGGACGATGCACCCTGGGGCTGGAAGGCATTTGAAAGACACAGTGGCCGCAACCGTGGATTGGAGCAGACCAGCAGTGGTGGCGGGCTGGGGTTTGGTTCTGCTGTGTGTGGGACAGCCGTGAATCGGAGCTAAGTCCACGGCCACCATGGCCACCACCAATAACAGCCACAAAGCTCTACAGCAATGACTTGAGAAAGGGCCACCAGAGCCTTTGTGAGATGGAAACCTGCTGATGAGCACGGCCAACACTGTGGGGCGTGGTCCGGCCGCCCGGCCGTCTCTCTCAGGGTTTTAGGTAGGGGAGAAGCCTGGATTTTGAGTTTTCTAATTTGAGGACATCAACCACAATCAATGTGGGGAGGACAGAACGGAAGCTGGTCTCCTGAGTGTGGGAGGCACCTGTGACCATCTAAGCGAGGGATTTGGGAAAGGTGATGGACGGGGTGTCACTTTTGTGATGTCTGTTTGCCTAGCCAATTCAGTTGATGCAGCAGTGTACAGCCAGGTGGGCAGAGAGGCCCACATGGCACAGAATCCAGGAGCCGAGTGTGCCGACAAGGTGAGTTTAGAAGCAGCTCCGTCCCGAGCTGAGTCCAAGCAGCAGCCGAGACCCTGACTATGGCCACGTGGGCCCAGAGCACAGGACTCAGCTAAGCCACCAATGAAGTCCTCACCATGGACAGACAAACACCACCATGAGCAATGGAGTGAAAAATGAAGCGGTCAAGGATTTCATTCTAATTGGATCCACAATCAACGTCTAGAGACGCAGCAGTCAAGACATCAAGTAAAAGTACTGGGCAAGTCTGTAAAGTGTCAGAGCTAAGACGTCACTGTGAGGATTAAGGTGTGCCCGGCCCAAGTCATAACGTTTCTAATCGTCTCATCTCCGTGTAAAAGCTGGACACTGAGTAAGGAAGACCAAAGGGGAATCAATGTCTTTAGTCCCTGGGGTTAGCAAAGAATATTAAAATATACCACGGGCTGCCAAAAGAACAAACAACTCAGTCTTAAACACAACCAGAATGGACCTTAGAAATGAGAGTGGTCAGAGTTGGTCTCACTTTAGACCAATCACAAGAGAGGCCAGTGTATTTGGTAACATGGAGGGTCCGGAGGATGAGGGACTGGCATAATGACCACAACAACACCCTGGAACACACCAACGGTCATGATGTCAGCGCAGGACTGGGCAGGTCACCAGCAGCCGAAGCCCAATTGACGACAGTCAGTACTGTCTGTGGGAACTGGTGACCCAGCCCCCGCTGACTGAAACACCTACCAAGTAGTCGTCCGGCCGGATCCCGAAGAGCTCCCGGAAGTAGCGGAAGGCGACGGGTGCATAGGTCTTGAACCTGAAGTCCTGGAAGTGGTGGGCAGGGGTGAGGTTGCTGCCTTCGCTGTAGAGAAAAGACACAGAAGGGACGTGAGTGAAGGGCCACGGCTCTGGGGCACCTGTCCCCCACTTCTCCCAACCCCAAGTGGCCCCCATGTCCCCAGGCTACAATTGTGGCTAGGACATGGGACACCCAGACAGCACAACCAGAGGGTTTCTCTATGGGAGCCGAGTGGCAGCAGCAATTCAGAAGGTCAGGCAGGAAGCTTAGGGAGCAGCGAGTCTGTCCACAGGGGAGGAACAACCCAAAACCGGGGGTAGAACAGCTTGAACAATATCATCAGTGACGCTGCAATGAACATGGAGAAACTGTCGGACTCGCGTGTGTTGGGCCGAGGATGTTTTCAACAGTTATCACAAAAGTAATTTTAAAATAAGATAAATGGCTATCCTTTAGCACATAAATACTTGGGACTCCTGGTTCGTATATGTAACACACAAATATATCCGATTAAAAGGAAGCAATGACAAATCCCAATAAGAGGACACTGCCTTGCATTTAGGTGTGGTCATGGCTGTATTCTGGTCAATAGGATGGGTGTGGAGCAAAACTAAGTATGCAGTTTCCTGGCTAAAAGGCTCAGCCATGTGCTTCCCCTTTCCCTCCCTCCTTCCCGTGGCTGGAATGCAGGTGTAATGGCAGGAGCCTGAGCAGCCACCTAGACCATGAGTTAGAGAAACTCATATTGAAGATGGCAGAGAAGAAGGAATTGGGACGCCAACACCTTCCAAAGCAAGTAGATTGCCCGCTTGCTTTGTTAAGTGAGACAAATGGGCATGTCTGCCTTATTGAAACCACTTCACACGGGGTCTCCCATTCAGCATCAACTCATGTCCTGCCTCCTTCAGGGTCGGAACTAAGAGGCAAGGTCCCGTTCGGACAGGCTGGTGCCATTTCAGCAGAAGAGGAAAGATTGGCTGGCACCAGGGCAGGTCTGTTGGAGGTGAGCGGTTGGGGTGGTGCGGGCTCACCTGGGGAAGAAGATACTCTCCACCACATAGAAGTCCTGCATGAGCACATCCCGTTCCGGCTTCGAGCTCAGGTTGCCCACCGTGTAGCCGATGCCCAGTTGAATGGCTCCCTTCAGCGTGGAGGAGGTGGTCTGCCAGGAAAGCCAGTGATCAAGACCCGTCCCACTGATGCATGCCCTGTACTCCAGCCCCCAGAGGAAGAACAGGAAAAGAAACTCCCTTGGTACAGGGTGTGGGTAGAGGCAGGAGAGGTCAGCTAGCTCCTCTCTAGGTGGGGGCTAGAGTTGGGGAAAGGTCAGGGAGAAGCCTGGCCAAGGGGTGGAGCCTGCCTGAGGGATGGAGGCTGGTGGAGGGGAGGAGCCTGGTGGAGGCCAAGGGGTGGAGTTAGGCCAAAAAGTGCAGCCTAACTGAACAGCGCCACCAGGCTGAAGGGTGAAGCCTGACTGAAGGACGGTGCTTGGCTGAGGGGTGGAATCAGGCTGAAGGGAGGAGTCTGAAGGAGGTGGGGTCTAGTTCAGGAGATGAGCCTGGCTGAGGGTTGGAGGGTGGTCAAGCGGTGAGATGAGATCCGGCTGAGGGGTGGAGCCTGGCTGCAGGTTAGGACTGGTAGAGGGGTGTGGCCTGATGTGGGTGTGGCCTCACAGAGGTGTGGCCGGGCTGAAGGGTGTGGCTTGGGTGAGGAACTGAATGAGGGGTGTGACCTGGATGTGGTTGGGGCCTGGCTGAAAAAAGGAACCTAGCCACACAAGGGAGTCCAACCACGGGTCTGTAAGGCATATCATTCAGGTAAATTTGCCATAACCACCACCCTGAATATTCATGAACCGTGCATGTGTTCATGTGTGAAGGAGACAGTTGAGGGAGCCAAAGGGCTTGGGGGAACCAGGGCCCCCTATCCTACTTCATCCTTCCCCACGGCCCACCCCAGCCAGCCCACGAAGAACCTTCTTGTATGTAGTTTCTCCAGATGCATCCACGCCCCGATGGCCCAGCTTCTTTCCATGGCCTGGGCCCAGCTGTCCAGCCATAGACGGGGCCTGGAAGGAGGAAACTTTGAAGTCAGCAAGGAGGCATCACCTCCACAATGGAATATTCTAGAAATCCTGGCAAGGAAGGGGCTTAGTCACTCTACCCAGCTGGGCTGAGGTGGGCACGCAGCACCACCCATTGTGTGCAGGGCTCACCTGGAAGCCAGGACTTCCACACTTTGGGGCGGGGGTGTCCATGTTCACTTCTGGACCCCCCTTCTCTCTATCCGAGGCACTGTGGACACATGGGGGCCTGGTCCTACGCACCCTGGGATGCTGACAGCATCTCTGGCCTCCATCCACTGTCGGCACCCCCCAGGTCATGAGCCTACAAATGCCACTAGACTTCACTCAGTGTCCCCTAAGGGATGAATTGCTCCGCTGGGAAGCACTGAACTACATAGTATTGACAAAAGGTCTTGATTAGGATAGAAAAATTTAACTCTCTGCAGGACAGAGTGGAGTCCTAGTGTGGCACTATAGGGTAAACACTGGGCTGCTAACCACAAGGTCAGCAGTTCAAACCCACCAGTTGCTCCTTGGAAACCCTATCCAGGGTCTCTATGTGTCAGAACTGACTGGACAGCACACAACATAGAACAGAGTCATGTCCTTGTGTAGCTCTGTAAGGTAAGCTCTGGGCTACTAACCACAAGGTCTGGGGGTTCAAGCCTGCCAGCTGCTCCTCAGAAACCCAATACAGAATTGGTGTGAGTCAAAACCAACTTACCTGCACTTAACAACTACAGCCCAGTTTCTCAACTTTGACGCGGACATTTGGGGTGGATCCTTCTCTGGGGTGGGCAGTAGCGCCCCCCAGTCACGACACCCATAAATGTTCAGACATTATGCAGTGTCCCTGGGGGCCAAATCTCCCTGGATGCGATTCACTGCCCCAGAATTACAGTATCACGCTGTGAGGGCTTGGTTCCCAGACAACGGGGGGCAGATGTAATGGGGACAGACTTGGTGTGCGGCCCCGCTACTATGGGCTCCAGCTGCATGGCTTAACCTGCTCTTCCTCAGAAAGCAGACTCTGGGGAGGGCCCTTGGGAGCCAGGAGTAGGGACAAACTACCAGCGAGCCCCCCATCCCACCCTCATCACTGGCATTAGAGAAACACCAATGTTTACCTGTGATCCGATAAGATTATACCAACCTCCCCCACCAGCTAGAATGTTCATATTCCCAACTGGCCGGCATAGCTCCCCAAGTGGCCATGGGAGGGGGCAGGAATCCCCCTCCTCCTTGACCTTCAACAACAGAGGCCCTTAGCCCAGTTCCAGCGTGTTCTCCAGAGTGACCACCAGAGGGCAAGCGATTCTCAAGAACGGAACCCTCCCGTTCTGCCCCCCAGAAGGACGACCCACTGCCCTCGGGGAAACCACCGCTCTTCCCTGCCCCGGCCACTGTCCTGGGCGTCTCGAGGGCCTGGCCCCAAGGTCGGCCCAGTCCAGATGGATGAGGACACGCTTCCTTTCCGCAGGAACCACAAGCCCACCCAGATCCTCCCGCCTCTCCCGGTCCCTCCCACTATGAGTCTCCTTCCCTCCTCTACCCACACTCCTCCTGGAAGCCTCGCCCACGCTAGGGGTTTTGAACACTATTCACGCCAGCCCAGGAGCCCCCAGCTCGAGCCTCTACGTCCCCACATGGGGGTCTCACAGACGCTTCACACTCAACACAGCCCCACTGTTTGTTCCCCCAACCTGCTCCACCCACGTCCCTCCATCTCCATGCTCTCCTCCTCTCCCCTCCTACAGCCAATCTGTCAGGAAATCCTGTCTGTTCCGCCTTCCAGATCTTTCCAGAACCCACCCACTTCTCCCGCTCCTCTGCCTCCACCTGGCCTGGCCCCATCATTGCCTGTCTAGACCAGAGCAGTCTCCTCTGTTCTGGTTCCTGACTCCGCATCCGCGACGCCTCCCCTCACCCCTGGCCTATTCTCCTAGCGGCTACCAGAGGGCGCCCGCGAGCACCGGAGTCTGGCCAGTCCCTCCTCTGCCCACAGCTTTCCAGGGCTCCCACCTCCCTCAGATCCCGGAGCCCCGCACAGTGGAGGGTCTCACTAACTTCTGACCTGTGTTTTGCTCGCATTTCCAGCCACACTAGCCTCCCCGGGATTCCGCATACCTCCAAGTCACTGATGTCCAGGAACGAGTGCACTCAGCTCTCCCTGACAGACCCTTCCCCCAGAGCACTCCCAAGGAGTGGCTGGTGGGTTTGAACCGTTAGTAGCCCCATGCTTACCCCACAGCACTACCTTCTAAACTGCCCTGCAGAGGCCACTCTGGAGCAATGAGGTGGATCAGTGGTTGTCTGGAGCCAGCTAGAGGACTCCGAGTAACTGCTAATGGGTACTGGGTGGTCTTTTGGAAATGGTCTGGAACTACACAGTGGTGACAGCCGACAAACTCCTGAACAGACCAAACAAACACTGGACTGCACATTTTAAACAGAGGAAGCATATGATATGTGAATGACAACTCCTGTCTTAACCTGATTGTAAATTTAAAAACTAAAAAGGTCCTGACAACAACAGCAAAATGGCATCCTAGGAGCGCTGGTAGCGTAGTGGTTATGAAGTCAGGCTGCTAACCTCAAGGTCAGCAGTTCAAAACTGCCAGCTGTTCCACAGGAGAAAGATGAGGCTTTCTGCTCCCATAAAGATTTACAGCCTCAACTGCATGGCACACCACCACCACCAATCCTGGACTCCTGGAGTGGCGCTGGAGGATCAGCACTAGACTGTGAACCACAAGGTTGGCGGTTCAAACCCACCTAGCTGCTCCTCGGAAATCCTATACAGGGTGGCTATGAATCAGAACCAACTTGATGGCACGTAACAACAACAGTGCCATCTTGCCGTAGTCCTTGTGTAGCGCTGTAAGATAAACACTGGACTGCTAACCAACTGGTCAGTGGCCTGGTCAGTGGCTCGACTCCACCAGCTGCTCTTTGAAAACTATACAGGGTTGTTATCAGTCAGAATCCACTGACTACACTAACAACAACTAGGTCCTGGAGAACTGACATGCTGATTGACAGACTACGGAGTCAAAGCCGCCTGCAGGACAAGGGCAGTCCCTACCAGCACACTGAGGCAGCACTTGTGGGGGAGAAGTGTTCCTCATCCTTCTCTCTGGACGGCATGATGGTACACGTCGTCCACGTTAAATCCCAGGACACGCACAACGGCTTCCCTACATCCTCCCAATTTCCATCTGTCCTACTTCCTCCTCAGACCCCGGGCTTGAGGCCCCTGGCTGTCTGTCTGAAGGCCGGTGTCTGGAGGGTGGGGCCCTGACTCCTCCATCCAGCCTCTTGCCCACCCTGCCCACAGCTGACCCTGAGACCACCTGGACACTCACCTCAGATGGGGCCATCTTCTTCTGAGTTAGATCTGGGAGAGAAAGAGATTTTAGACTGGAAGAGAGACAGAACCCAGCCCCCTGTGCCCCCCACACCGCCCCCAGGGAGATGGAGCCCAGTCTCCACGTGCCGTCTCCTCACCCCACCACTCCAGGGAGTGGGAGTCTAGCCCCCTGCACCCCCCACCCCACCCCTTCATATATGCACACATCTCCAGTCAGCAGCCTAGGTGGTCTCAATTACCCATCTCCCACCACCAAGGTACAAGAGGGCCAGCCGACTGTCCTGTGTACAGACAGCAGGGAGCACACAGGTGAAGGGACCCCAAAGAGGGAAGAAGTGACTAAGGGTGCGCAGCCCCAAGACAGCCACCCCCAAGGAATGAGCGGCACAGGAGAGTACAGAGGTGGCCCAAGGTGGCAGCAGGCGGGGACCTAGAGGCCACATCCAGGGTTGAGACATCCCCTCCCAGGGAAGAAGGGACAGAAGAAGCACGCCCCTAACTCTGAGCCACCGCTGCTTTCAAAGATCAACCAAGCCCAGGCGGCCACCAGCGAGTCGATGACAGCTCACAGTGACCCTGGAGGACAAGAGAACTGCCCCCAAGGGTTTCCAAGGGTGTCATCTTGATGGGAGCAGACAGACGGCCTTGCCTTGTCTTCTGAGGAGCAGCTGGTGGGTTTGAACCAATGACCTTGCAGTTAGCAACCCGAAGCGTAATCCACAGCACCACCAGGCTCTCTGGCCCCTAAGATAGAGAGCCTTAGGTTGCAAACGCCCAGCTGAGCTGACTGAGGTGGGTACCTTCCTCCACTGGATTCTAGGGGAGGTTACGGGACCCAGGGGCACAGCCCAGCTGGGCTCTGACAATGGCCCATCCACCAACATGGATGTCTCAACAGGGGCAGTCATACAGACCCCCAAGGCCGGCAGTCATACAGACCCCCAAGGCCGCGGCAGAGTTGACCCCCACACACAAGACAGTGGCTTCTGTGACCCCAAACCACGGCTGTTTCTATCACTTACACTCCCCAGGGGATCTGGGTCCCCACCCCTACCTCACAGGCTCCTGACCACAGAGGAAAAGGGACAGTGAATACACCAAGCAGCAAACCACTGCAGCCGTGGTGTCCACGTCTGCCCAGAGACACCTCAGAGGGAAGATCTGGTGGTCTATGTTCCCAAACTCAGCCACTGAGGACCCTGTGGGGCGCCTGAATCACACTGCCTTACAGAGGGAGAACACGGAACCCCTCAACTGCATACGCTAAGGGGTGAACTTCATAGCAGGTGAATTATACCTGAATTTAAAACAAAACCTCGGTGGCCCTGAGCACAGACCCATCCGTGTCTCCCTTAGCCATGCCCCCACCCTTGGCTGTCCTCCACATCTCTGTGCGTCACAATCCACCATGATGGTCCAGATAAGCACCCAAGGCTTAGCCAGGGGAGCCGCTGGTCCACCCCCATGAGCAACCCCCCACCCTCCCAGAAGACAAGTGAGCCTCAGAGGCCGGGTACAGGGGCCGGACCTTGCCAACCCGGATCTCGAGGCTGAGGGAGGGAGGGTGGGCAGGCGGGTCGTGGCCGTGGAGCGACGGCGGAAGGTGCTAGAAACTGACATAATATTTTCTTTGGCCGCCCAACAGCAGAACAATTCAGGGCTTTGCATCTAGGGGGGAGGGGGAAGGGGAAAAGAGAGCGGGCAGGAAGTCGGCGGTGGACCAAAGAGGAACATTCTAGAACTTGTATGGGGCTCTTGGGGCTGGAGGCTTCTGCCCAGGAGGCCAGCCCCAGGTCACAGATTGGAAGGAGCCGTGGCTCAGCTCCCTACCTGTGGTCCAGCGTCCACCTGGTCCTGCTTACCTGTGCTCTCTAAACCTTCACCTCCTTTTCATGTTGACCTTCAGGCCCTCAACCCACACTTGTACCCTCTTACTTATCTCCTGTGCCTACATGAGTACGTGGCAACTTCTGGTTCCGCCATTCAGAGACCCAGTGGAATGAATGGGATGTGAAGTCTGGGCCAGTCTGGCCTGACCCAGGCTGTTTGCTATTGCCCCTCGAAAGACACTCCACACAGGAGCACACACACACACACTACATCAATGCACACACCACATGCATACATTCATCTACATATCACACACACACATGCACACCAGACACACCACGTGCACACACGAGCATGCCACGTGCACATACCACATATATATACACATGAGCACAACCACATGCACACATGTGCATGCCAACATGCACACACATGCACATGCCACACCCACACAAGCACACACCAAATGTGCACCATTCATGCGCAGGCATGCACACACTGAAGCACACACACACATGAGCACCACATGCATACACACATGTGCACACACATTACATGCATACACACATGCACACACCACATTCATACACACCCACATGCATACACACAAACGTGTATATGCCCGTGCTAAGTGCTACATACATGCAGACACATGCACACACAGAGACACGTACATACTGAGGCCCGGGCACATACATGAACATGTACATGGATGCTGATGCACCATACCATGCATGCGCAGACATGCACACATTGAAGTCAATGCATATGAACACGTGCACACTCTGGCATGTGTCACACATGCACGTGTAGGCATACACTCATACATGCACAGGAACATGTGCACAGTGACATGTGACACACATGCATACAGAGACATATGAACACACTGAAACCCACACGCACACACAAATGGGAAGACTTCATGGACCCCTGAGGTCACTCTGCACCTAACTCTCAGGGACCCTGAACTAGGGTGAGCCTTGACTCCCCAATCCATCCTGCTTGCCCTCCCTCTCTCCTCATCCCCCCACCCACTCTCTCTCCTGGACTAAACCTAGATCCCATCCTACTACTGTGGTGTCCAGTCAGACTCACAGTGACCCCACAGGACAAAGGAGAACAGTTCCTTAGGGTTCCAACATTTAAACAGCCCCATCTTTCTCCCCCAGAGCAAACAGTGGGTTTGACCACTGACCTTTCGGGCAATAGCCCAATGCTAAACCCGACTTGCCACCAGGGCTCCCTCCTCCTTCTGGAAGCACAGACTAGAAGCACCTCGGCTTTCTTCACCCCTGCAATGGCGCCAGCAACAGCCCCCGACTCCGACACTTCCACAAGAAGGTCCTTAAAGACCTGGACTGAAAGCTGCTGGTGATGGTGGTGTTGGAGTCTGGGGGGTATGGGGAGCACCCCACCGGGATGGAGGGGCCAGCATCTCAAGTCCTTCCACCCACCCCACATGTGACCAAGTAGCTTCCCAGCGTGGCTCCCAGGGTCAAGGAAATTGGTTTTCAATAGTCTGACAATCTGCTGACCCCTGAGGGTCACCGTGAGATGAACTAACAGCAAGAACACTGCCACTACGTGTTCAGGTACAAACTCAGCTCTTCACCACACAACAAATGCCCTGCACCTGGGGAAAGGCCGAGGAAGCAAATGTTGTGTTTCACGTTTATTATACCACAAAGTACAACAAAGGAGGGCGGAGCCATGTGTCACTGGGGGTAGGCCAGCAACCCCGAAGGACCTCTTCTCCCAGCAGGGCTGCAGTGGGCCAGAACCCCCGTGGGGGGAGGGGGCATGAAGCTGCCTGCCTGCTGGTGGGCAGCAGGGGCACCCAGGGGCTCAGTACCACCCACCTAGCATGATTGGAGGACCCAGATTGGGGTGAAGTTGCTGTGTCTTCCCAACCTTAAGGAGCCAGCCGCAACCCCTACCCTTTGGGTCAAGAAGCTGCTCCCCCCGCCTCCCAGTCTGAGGTGAGCCCTTGGCGAGCCCCTTCCTCTATCTCCAGAAAGGTTTCCTCCATGGCTAGAGGGACGAAGAAGTAAATGACAAAATGACCCGTAACCATTGATGACTACGCAGTGGGGTGGGGGGGTGGGGGGGCAGGGTCAGGGGGCGCTCAGCAGTGACACCAGGGAGAGAAGGGGCTTTCACACAGACTGTTCCCTCTGCCTGGATCACTCTATTCTTAGTTCTTCACGGGGCTTCTGAGCTCCCCCACTCCCAAACACGAACTAGTTCCACACAACAGCCAGGGGGTGTCTGGGAGCACTATAGCCCTTACCACATTGATGATGTCATTTCCTGGTGAGACAGGGCTTTAGGGACATTAAGAAAGTACTTAAAGTCTAAGGTGAAACCCATATGATCACATCTCGGAATACAGAAAAACCTCCAACAAAATTCTGTGTACAAAACAACTATGAAGAAATTAGAAACTTTTAAGAAACTGAAAACAGAGAAAAAAGGGAAATACCTTGTGGCGCTGTGGCTTAAACATGCGCTGGGCTGCAAAGTCGGTTTGAACTGCAAGGTGGGCAGTTCAAGCTCACCAGCTGCTCCTTGGAAACCCTATACAGGGCGCTATGGGTCAGAACAGACTCAACGGCACTTAACAACAAAGCAAAAATGAATGTCAAACACAAGACCAGGAGCAGGGCCCACACTCTGCCACTGCAGCCGATGAGCTGCTCAGTACAATAAGACAAGAGAACAGAACCGAGGAGCAGGAGTAGAGATTGGAAAGGAGAAGACAGAACATCCATCTGCAGATCACTGTGTTTAGAAAACCCAAGAGAATCAGCTGACAGATTAGTGGAACTAAACCAGGCAGCCAGATGCCAGGGGCTTGGCCCAGGTTGCGCCCAAGTGCACAGGGAGAGCTGAGCTGCCGAGGTTCTTGTCCTTTGCACTAAGGACCTGGCTCCCTAAACAGCCTGCCTTCTCTGGTTTCACACCTGGGTTAACTTTTATCTGTAAAATGTAGATGATTTCCTCCAGCTATCTGGGCCAAGGTCGGCTGTTCAAGCTCACCAATCGCTCCTCAGAAACCTTACACAGGGTGGTCCCTATAAATCAACCCGAATAGTTTGGAGTCCATCCCCCTCACTGGCTTTGCACCGGTTGTGACACTTAGCAGGTATACACCTGGGGTCAACATTAACCAGAGAATGGCAGAAATCAAGACC